GAATAAAGGCTATGACCATCCTAGATAACATATTAGAAAGCAGAGACATTACTTTGACAACAAATGTCTGTCTAGTCAAAGCTATGGTTTTTCCAGTAATCATGTATGGATGTGAGAGTTGGGCTATAAAGAAAGCTGAGTGCTGAAGAATTGATGTTTTTGAACTATGGTGTTGGAGACGACTCTTGAGAGTCCCTTGGACTGCAAGGGGATCCAACCAGTCCATCCTAAAGGAAATCAGTCTTGAATATTCATTGGAAGGACTGATGCTGAAGCTGAAACTCCAATACTTTGGCCAGCTGATGTGAAGAGCTGATTCATTTGAAAAGACCCTGATTCTGGGAAAGATTGAAGGTGGGAGAAGAAGGGGATGACAGAGGATGAGATGGTTGGATGGCATCACCGACTGGATGGACATGAGTTTCAGCAAGCTCCAGGAGTTAGTGATGGACAGGGAAGCCTTGTGTGCTGTAGTCCATGGGATCACAAAGAATCAGACATGACTGAGCGGCTGAACTGAAACTCAGTGATGGAACAACTGTTTTGTTCAAGATTGAGAAAGGAGTCTGACAGGGCTATGTGCTGTCACCCTGTTTGTTTAATCTATACTGAGCACATCATGAGAGATGCTGGGCTGGATTAGTTACAAGATAGAATCAAGACAGGTGGGAGAAACACCAATAGTCTCAGATATGTGAATGGTACCACTCTAATAGCAGAAAGTGAAGAGGAACTAAAGAGCTTCTTGATGAAGGTGAAGGAAGAAATTGAAAGAGTCACTTAAGACTAAAGAATAAAAAATCTAATATGATATCTGGCCCCATTACTTCATGGCAAATAGAGGAGGAAAATGTGGAAATAGTGACAGATTTCCTCTTCTTGTGCTCTAAAATCACCACAGATGGTGACTAGCCATGAAATCAGAAGATGTTTGCTTCTTGGCAAGAAAGCTATGACAAGTCTAGACAGTGTGTTGAAAAGCAGAGACATCACTCTGCCAACAAAGGTCCATATAGTCAAGGCTGTGTTCTTCCTAGTGGTCACATATAGTTGTGAGAGCTGGGCAATAAAGAAGACAGAGCACTGAAGAGTTGATCCCTTTGACCTGTGGCAGTGGAGAAGACTCCTGCATGTCCCTTGCACAACAAGGAGTGAAACCAGTCAGTCTTAAGAAAAATCAACCCTGAATACTCATTAGAAGGACTGATGCTGAAACTGAAACTCCAGTATTTTGGTCATCTGATGCTAACAGCTGACTCAGTGGAAAAGTCCCTGATGCTGGGAAAGATTGAGGACAGAAGAAGAGGGCATCAGAGGATGAGATGGCTGGATGGCATCACTGATGCAATAGAAATGAACTTGGGCAAACTTCGAGAGATGATGAGGGACAGGGAGGCCTGGTGTGCTGCATTCCACAGAGTCACAAAGAGTCAGACATGACTGGGCAATTGAGCTCAACAAGAAGTCCCTAAGTAAAGAACCTGGCTCAATCAAGTCCAAACTTCTACCATGAGGTGATACATGACTGCTGTTTTAGGCCACTAAATTTGGGGCCAATTGTATGCAATATAGAAAAGCATTCAGGGAAATCTGTACCAGTAGGGAAAGTAGGAGTACACAAACTTTGACCTTGCCAAGGTCAAAGAATATTCAGTTTCACATTCTGTCCTGCAAAGGCAAAGAGGGATGGTTGAAATGGAGAGCAATCAGAATGGGGAAAGCAAGAAACCAGATTCTAAAATAGGCTCAAGGAGCTCGTGGGCTGGAGAAAAGATGCTTGGTCTCAGAAGAAGAAGCTTAATTTCTATCTTCAAATGCTGAATGAGCTGTCGTGCATCAGAGGTATTAGACGTGACCAAATGACCAGAAGTACAAGATGGATGGTCTCTCAACATAAGGAAGAAAGTTCTAACATACAAGATGCCTAGAAATGAAAAGGACTGCATTTATCATTTGCAATCCTAATTTCTTCCAAGTACACAATGTACAATCGAATTAAATGGGAAACTAGGGGAGGAATCAAGCTAAATAAGTGGAGACTAGAAAACAGACCATAATCATGGGTTGTATTAAAAGCTCCCCCAACCCACAATCTCTATGATTCTATGTTCAAATGCACCTTCAAAGGATTTAAAGCACACTTTCACAGATTGAAGCTAAGAATGTGGGGGTGATGCTTAAATGTATCTTCAAAGAATTAGTACCACTTTCACGGATTGAAGCTAAGAACGTGGGGGTGAATGGAGATGGTGTTGGGTCAGGAACAAATTGACACCTGAATCTCTCCCTTCCTGGCAGCTTCCCAAATGAAGAGCATAAACGAAGGGAAAGGGAAGACTCCAGCACACTCAGGGGCTTTGGCCCAAACCTCAGAGTAGAATTCTGCCAGGTATGACTGCATCTTGTAGAATACTCTGACTCACGTGCGGGTTTCCTGATGGTCTGATACCAAAGCACTCTAAAGGGCTATGCTGATCATTTTACCCCCAAAACACAAGTCTGAGTCTTGGACCTTAACACTTCTGATTTTAGAAAAGACAATTCCTGCCAAGGAAAAGCAGAAAAAAGTAAAGAAGACCAGGTAAGGAACCCAATGACCAGAGGGAGCTGACCAATTTACATTCTCACCCACAATGTAGGAGGGTTCCCTTTTTTCCTGATGTAGTTTTTCCTATTCCTAAACACTGGATGCCTTCTCAGTGGGCCCACTCAATCTGGAAATTCATGTCTTTCAGTTCTAAAATTTCCTACCTGTATCATTTCTGTGAGTTCCCTATTCTCTCCTCCCCCACGTGAAAGCTGGGTGTGGTAAACTCAGAGGTGTAATAAACATTGTAAGCCGGTGGCTTGCATGTTTGCACAGCTTTGAGCCCTACCCAGGGTATATGGGAAGGGAGTACCTGCTTTTCCTATCCTTTGTTCTAGAGAATAAGGGCCTTCCTTTCCAGAAACATTGCCTAAGTAAAGAAAAGCAGGCAATCCCTTAACCCCCAAAATGTTCAAAGCCAGCGGAAAAGCAGCAGATCTGCAGTACTGAATCACCCTCTCCTCTGAGTCCATCTGACTACTGCAGTCTGAACTGACCAATTCAGCTGCTTTTTCTTCCAGAAAACCTTGATGCCCACCTTCTACATCCCTCTCCCTATAGGATAGAACTCCCTGTGTAGGCTTCCCACCCAACTTTTTTTTAAATTTTTATTTTAATATGGAAGTATAGTCAATTTACAATATTGTGTTAGTTTCAGGTATACAGCAGAGTGATTCAGATATATGTATATAAATATCTCCATTCCTTTTCAGATTCATTTATCACACCGGTTGTTGCAGAGTACTGAGTCGAGGCCCCTGTCTTGCACAATTTTACACATGGCAATGTGTACATGTTTATCCCTCCCACCCAACTTTCATTGCAAATAGCTTTCACCCCTCCATTTTCTCTGTTCTTACTTTCTGAAACTTATATTGGCTAGATAGATGTTAGACCTGGACTTCATGGATTACCTGATTTTATCTTTTCCAATTTCTCATCTCTATTATTTTTGTACTTCTGGCTGAGACTTCTGAAAGCTTATCTCCCAACACATCTATGTAATTGTTTTACTTCCTGGTATTATATTTTTAATCTTCATTAACACTTTATTTTCAGACTTTTTCTTCTACATACAGCTTCTTCTTGTTTAGGGACAGCAATAGTTTGTCTATTTAGTTGTGGTGAGTTTCTAAGTTTTCTTCTGCTTCCCACCATGTCCTTTGTACTCTTTTTTTCCTGTGGTGTTTGCTTGCTTTTGTTTGAATTTTTGACATTATTTTGTCTCTTGTTCACACTTAAAGCACTCCTTAAATGCCTGGTGGCTTTCAGCTGTTCATAGTTCAGCTTGAGGAACTCAAATTGGTTGGAAGCACGAGGCGGAAGAGGGAAAGCTTATCAGCTGAGGAGTGACAAGGACGCCACTGGCTTCTCTTTATTAGAGAGTAGGGAATTTTGCATCTCTTCAATGCCCACTGCACATAAGAACTGCTGCCTCAGAGATGGCTTCTCTCTGTACTTTCATGCACTCCCTATCTACACTGCCTACTGTGTCTACTCTGTGATCAGAATAGCTATTGAAGACCCTCTGTTTTGATGAGGCATAAAAACAGTAGCCAGTTTATAAGTGCCATGGAAAAGACATGTGTTCCACAAGCTTCCCACATGGCTGACCACTTCCATGTGGCAAAGTGATTCACATACTTTAAACATTTAACCCTCCTTCTGTGCTGCTGTCTCCTGGCCCTGCAAATTTCAGCTTGTTGAACTATTCCATATATGGTAAATGCCACCAAGGGAGCTGGGGATAGACCACAAGGTGGCACAGCCACCTCTCTGATCCTTACAAGAACCATCACCAATGATCATCAGTGATTCCATCTTCAGAGGAGGACATCAGAGTCCTCACTTTGGTTTGATGCCAAAGCCCTGGTTTGTGCCATTGTAAAAGGAAAGAGTCAATTTTGACTCTTCCGTGCTTGATCTGTTCTTTGGCCACTTTTGTTATTATAGTCACACATAATGGCTTGCCTCAGAGAATCCCACCCCTCTGCCTGACTGGTAAGCTGAAGTACCTTTGTTCAGAGCTCTGTCTTCCCGTGGATGGCAGGAAGGAAGAAATTAACACAACCCCCTGCCTGAGGTTTGCTATTCTAGGAGATACTTGTAAGATTTCTTTCCTCATCTCCCCCATCTCTGATCCATAAAAGAACCTGGCACCGAGACCCCAGCAAGATGGTTATTTTGAAACACTAATTTGCCAACTTCTCAGTCAACCAGCTTTCTGAATAAAGTCGTCTTGTGCAGCCAGCAGAACAAGCTTGGACTCAGTAACACCATAACTGGCTTTCACCTTACCCTGTGGAATTTACTTTTGTTCTACAAAAAGAATGTTTCCAGGGGGATAGCGTGCCACCATTCCACGTGGAACTGCCAGGCAAGGTGGTAAGGGCACCAGAGGAAAACCCAGAAGATGCTCCTTCTCCTGCTCAGCTGTCTCCTGCCTGCCACCAATGGGAAGAACTGCCTCCAATGCTGGCAAGAGCTGCCTGCACTAATAGATTATGACCTGCAGATTCTTTGGGGCACCCCAGGGCCACCCGCAGAGCTCTCCCAAAGCCTCCATTCCCTATTCATGAACAATCATTCTTCTCCTGAAAACTCATACCTTGGTGAGGCACAGCCAGGAGACCCAGGGATCAGCACTGACCCCTTTACCTGGCCCAGGTCTTGATCCCCTGACTTTGTCCCAAACCCCATTCTCAGGTCAAGACCATTTGGAGGAAGCAGCAGGAACATTATTCACTCACATAGATAAAGCCATTAAGAAGCTTCGAGATGGTGAGGAAGCCTAGAATCCTAGGGCCCCAGGGCTTGGGTTAACAAAACCTGATCGTCCAAGGCATCCCCTGAAGACCATTGGCATGTGGTGGGGCAGTGTTGTGAAGGGTGGGATTGGACATAGCATCTACCTGTGTGCTCTACAGAATTTCTGTCTGAAAAAAAACTGGCTTAAATTCCTAATCTTAAGGAAGTTAGGTTATTGACTCCACCTATGAAACACACAGTGAAAGCACCCCTTCCCTCTTGTTCCACCCAGATAAACCATCACTTCTGGAAGAGGTTCGTGTCCTGAAGCAGCAATTTTCCAAGGAGCTGGAGGATATATCTGAGGGGCTGAAGGAAAAGGGTGAGAGGTGGGGCTGGCCCCTGCTCATCACCCAGCCCGTCACTTCCCAGAGACCTGGTGAGGCAGAGTCCAATTTGCGGCCCCCTTTGGGCCCCTCCCCTGCCCTTGCCTGGGGCACCTAACCACACCTTCTCCCAGCTGCGATTCCTGCTCACACCCCAGTCCCTCCCGGCTCTGTCTGCCTCCCCAGCACCTCAGTCTCTCTACCATTTCACCCTCCTGGGCAGCCTGCAATGAGTCCTGTGGTGAGTATTTTGGGGACCAGGCCTGGGTGAGGGGTGAGGGGCACCTGACCCTCTCTAAGGCTCCTACCCATCCTTTCTAACAGACATCCGCTCCACATTGGAGATAATCAGTTGCACCACGTGCCAGAAACACTTCCTTACCTGCCAAGACCCTGCTCTCTGCCCAGGTCAGTGGCCAACCAACCATCTTGGCCTCCAGCCTCCCTGCCTTCACTCCAGGTCCGTTGTTGTCTTTGTCTGGAATGTCTCCTTCCTCTGTCTACCCCTGATCCCTTTGTGCTCCCCATCCTCCCTGGGGAAGGTCACTTCCCAGGATATCTGGATTCCACATGTCCATCTTCAGAGCCTTAGAGCCATCTGCCTCTAGGACATGTTCTCAGGGGGCCTGTCAGGTCATGTCCAAACCCATCTCAACTCCCCCAAATCGACTCTTCCTTCAGGCCCCCTCTCAACAAATGTCTCAGTCAAGTCCTCAACCTCCTAAACCAGGAGTCTTCCTCCCTTACTCAGAGTATGTAGTCACCAGGTCTTGCTAAAGAATTCTTCGGCATGTTACCATATGAGACTTCCAACCTCCTCAGACAGCCTCACCTCCTACCTGGATTGTGCCAGAGTCTCCTAACTGACCTCCCTGCCTCTCCTGGTCAGCTCTCGCTCAGCAATCAAAGAACCCTCTCTCTCAAGGAGCCAGTCTACTTCTGACACTCCCTGTCATAACTTCCAGTGGCTCCCAGTGGCTCCCAGATAAAGTGCACCCACCTGGGGAGGCCTGCCCGCCTGTGCCCTCTCCTGTCTTCGCAGACACGCAGAGCTGCTGACATGGAGCTTCTGACCTGGAGCACTCTGTCCTCTGCTTGGAACAGTTTGGCTCCTTCACCATCTGAACTGAACTACCAGTCTTTCAAAGTCCAGCTCAGAATTCCTGTTTCCTAAGAAGCTTTTCATGACTAGCTCTGAGCTAGTCGACCCGGAGCTTGTCAACCCTCCCAGAGCCTGTGCTCTGCCCTGCTGTGCTCCCTCGAGACACCACAGCAGACTCTTTGGTTTGTCTCCCTCCTAGAGATTAGGGACCCTGTTTTACTCATCTCTAGATGTAGGTGGGCATACAGTAGGTGCTCAGCAAGTGTCTACAAACAGGTGACTGAGTGCGTAAGAATGCAGTCTCCTCTTGGAGCTGAGATGGCTCTGTCTGCTCCCTAATCACTGGCTCTCCCTTTCCCCACCTCCCCGCAGCATGGACTGGGAAGAACTTCAGGTGGGCTATGGGCATCGGCATCGCTCTGCCCCTGGTGACCCTAGCTGGAGGTGGGTAAGTGCCTGCTCCAAGCCCCATGTTCCCAAGGAAGACACACCTACTGCTTGACTGACCCATCTCCACCCTGTTTCCTGGCCCAGATGTTACATTTTCTGGCTCGAGAAGAAGAAAAAGAAGAAGGACAAGGAGGCACAAAAGGTCCTGGGACATCTAGGATCCCCAAGGAGGGAAAACTGTTTCTGCCTGCGGGTAGCAAGTCTAGAGGCCCCAAGTCTGGTTCCCTGGGCCTGGTTTCCAAAGGAGTGTCAGATTGAGGGCTGGGACTCAGGAGAGCCACTATCAGCCCCCAGTGTGAGCAGACCCATCCAGGGCCAGGTGCCTGGGACAGAGCAGGAGCAAAGCCCTCAATCTCCAACTGACCCACAAAGTGCTCCCTGCCTATAGCTGTCATCATCCCTCTGTAGCACCCACCTCTACCCTTCACCACCCTGCTACCTGACTGCATAGGCTGCCAACAATCCCCCTGGCCCTCTGCTCCTGGTTGGGTTTGGCCAGCTGGAGGTCAGAGGCAGAAGCAGACCTGCTTCTCCTCTCTTGGCAGGGACCCAGCTGGCCACTTGTCACCTTCAACTGAACAAAGGTCCTAGGTGCTGTCAGGAAGCTCTCTTATCTCTGGGTTCTGGTAACTCTCCCTCTCCCAACCCCTCCAACCTGGGGTGGTAACAGCTCTGAAGTTCTGAGACCCAGGAAACTGCATTCTTTCTTGAGGTTTCTCTACACCCATGCTCTGTAAGTGTCTTTTATTAAAACACTCTCCTCATTCTCTGATGCACTGTGCCATCTGCTTCCTGCTGTACCCTGCATGGGTGCAGCTGGCACTATGATCCTCCCCACACGGGCCCCCAAGGACTGTCCCATGTCCTCAACCTCTTCCCGCCAGCCCAACACCCTTACCTTTCAGAAAAATCTCTCTCCTAGTCCCAGAAGTGGTAACTCCACAGGATCACACTAGCCTCTCCTGATTTCAACACCAGAGTTGAGGGCAGCAATGGCCTGGGCCCCTTGAGGCATTCCCTTGTCTGGGTGTGGAAAGCATGAAGTGCAAGTGTTAGTTGCTCAGTCATGTCCGACTCTGCAACCCCATGGTCTGTAGCCAGCCAGGCTCTTTTGTCCATGGGTGTGAAAGAGAGGAGGTAAGAGGCCAGTTGGAAGCCCCAGCAAGAGCAGGGACTAGCAGAAGAAACCCAGAAAACAGGTTCCAAGTCACATCAGTAGCAAACCTCACCTAGGAACACCCAAGTTGCCAGAGGATCACAGGTGCTGCCAACGGTGAAATTTACCAGCTCTGCCTGTCAGAGGACTTGCCTCATCCTCTTCCAACTTCCTCCAGATCCCTTTCCTTCTCAGCCCTCAAAGGTTGAATGGAAATCCTGTGACCCTGAAGCACGGCTCTGCCCTTTCCCCTCAACCCTGTGCCCCTTCCCACTGATCCCCCAGCCTCTCAGTTTTGGTTCAGGCTCTCCAGAGCTGGAGACTGAACAGGAGGCCACAGCCAGATCAAGGACCCGGGTCTGCAGGTTGGCTCCCAGGACTGAAAGGAAGCAGGTCTGAGACCAGAGCTACAGATGGGAAGCCCAGACCCTGGGCTCAAATCCTGACTCTGATGTTGAAGTTCTGGATCCCCCTCTCTGCATGTGTTTCCCCTCTGAGCACAGAGCAGGGGATGCAGTGTTCTAGCCAGGCTGGTGTGCCCAATGGGTTCATAACTGCCATCCCATGTTTGCTCAGGCTGTGGATGCAAAATCAATGCCTCATCCTCTTCCCCTTCTACAGTCCACTGAAATCCTGCTGGCACCCATGGCCCATCTCCTAAAACAGGGTCTCTTGTCCCCTCTGGTTCTACTGGTGTTCCCTCCTCAGAGCTGGCAGCTAGGCTGGAAGTAGGCTGACTTCAGCATCACCATATGGCAGTAAGGTACCCTCCCTGGGCGGGGGCCAGGAGGAAAATGCAAGAGACCAAGGTGAGACATAAACAGAACAGAATGCAAACAGCAGCCTGGGTGGGAAGCATCATGGCCAAGGGCAGCTGTGGGTGCCCAGCTGCAGGCATCTCCAGCTCACCACACCAGGAATACAGGAAGGCCTCCTGGAGGTGGTGTCTTCAACTGTGAGGCCAGGGAAGATGGAAGGGAGGGAGGAGTGTTTTCACTGAGGATCCCAGCATTACACAGAGAGGTACAGAAGAACTTGAAAGAGTTCAAGAGCCCCAAGAAACACGGCTGAAGGGAAAGGCCCAGATAAGAGGCTGGTGAGAAGGAGGATAACAGCAGATTCCAAGCCCATGTGGGTCCAAAGCAAGCCTGAGAAAAAGCCCACGTGGGGCTCCTGGCACAATAGGCGGGGGAGAGGCAGCAGAGGGTTTTGTCAGAGGCAGACCGAAACCCCCGGGGGGAGAGTCCATAGACACTGGGACACCATATGATCAGGACCTACTCATAGCCGTTCTGAATAACTGGGCAGAGCCCAGTAGCTGTCATGGAACTCCGGGTGTCTGCGGTTCTCTGCATGTCTGTGGAAGCTGGTTGTCACCTAGGACATAGACAAAGTCAAACTCCCTTGGCTGAGATTTGTTTTCCTATCTGTACTTAAGTTGAGACTTAGACTGCTACCTCAAAGGAATCCAGAGCAACTGTTTTCTGGTGTCTGCAGTAAAAGCAGGAGACCCTGGTATAATTTATACGAAGTACGAGCTTGTGTGTTTGTGTGCATATATCTCTTATCAACAAATTTTTTTTTATTATTTGTGGGCATATTTGCATGGAAACTAGGTATAATGCTTTCTGCTAGAGTAGAAAGATTAAGGATTTGGGGGTCAGGCAAATGTTGACCAAAATACAGGCTCTGGAGGTCTCCTGCTTCTGGCTGTGACTGGCAGCTCAGAGCAGACCAACACTCCCACCAAAGGCAACTATAAATAAAGCATGTCCAAAGAGCAGAACAAGACAGGAAGTCTGTTTAGGGGTGCCTGAGGTCCCCAAGTAAAGAGAGCTTTCTGCAGTTAGCCCACATCCTGCCATGACTGTCCCTGGGCATTTCAGGCTCAGCAGATCAGGTTAAGAGGCAGGCTGAGGTGCTGGGCCAAGGATGACTGCCATGTTTGGAGCAGCCAAGAGACTTTCAGCAATACCACTGGACTGCTAATTTACAAGTTGGAGTTCTAGCTTGCCCACACAGAATGAGAGGTCCCTGAAAGCAGGGGGATGCCTTCAGAAAGCACTGTAGTTCTTCCTGCTCCTCCAAGGTGCCTGCCTATTCTTAAGCAGCAGAAGCTTAAAATTTCTGAAGACAAAGAAATCAAGCAGAAAGGATCTGAAATGCAATTTATCAGGGATTGGAATGCTAGGGAAATAAAAGTTGGCATTCACGACCCACATAGGAAGACAAACTTTGATAAATACCCCAGGGTATTGGTTAGAAAGGTTATAGCTTAAAAGAGGGAGTGTATCAGTGGCAGACTAATCCTTACAAAGATGGAGCTCAGACTCACAACCCCTCAGTCTCTGACAAAATTGAAGAGACCTGTTCTTCCTCCATATCACTGCTGAAGGAGAGAGTAAATACTTTTGGAAGGAAAATGATACCATCTAGAACCACTACTATGTTTTATTTATAGGGTCTAGTATTCAAATAAATATTAACAGGCACACAAAAACAAGATCAAGAGAAAAAGCAGATAATAGAAATAAGTCTACAAGGGATCCATATATCAGAGTTATCTGTTATACATTTTAATAACTAGATGAATGCATCCAAAAATACTTTTTCAGATTTCCAGATAAAATTGACATTATGCATTGTGTTAGTTTAAGGAGTACGTGTTGATTTTATATCCTTATATATTGCAAAGTAGTTACCACTGCAGCATTAAATATCACTTCCATAAAGTCACATAACTACCTTTTTATGATGAGAACATTTAAGATCTACTCTTTTAGCAAGTTTCAAGTATATAATACAGTATTATGAACTATAATAATCATGCAGTAGTACATTAGATCTTTAAAACTGATTTGTCTGTTAACTAGAAGTTTGCACCTTTTGACCAAAGTCTCCCTCTTTCTCCTGCCCACAAAACCCCTGGAAACACCATTCTACTCTGCTTCTTTGAGTTTGTTTTCTAAAGATCCCACATATAAGTGATACTGTATAGTATTTGTCTTTCTCTCTCTGACTTATTTCACTTAGCATAAAGCCTTCATGTTTCCATCCATGTTACTGAAAATGGCAGAATTTCCTTCTTTCTCATGGCTAAATAACATTCCATTATCCATTCATCTGTTGACAGACTTGGGTTGTTTCCTCCTCTTGGCTATTGCGAATAGTGCTGCAAAGAACATGGAAGTGCAGATATGTCTTCAAGAGGCTGTTTTCACTTCCTTTGGAAATATAACCAGAAGTGGGATGGATGGTGATATGGTAGTTCTATTTTTCATTGTTTAGGATCCTCCATGCAGTTCTCCATAGTGGCTACACAAATTCATATTTCCACTAAAACTGTATAAGGGTTTCCTTTTTTCTACATCCTCACTAGTGCTTGTTAATTCTTGTCTCTTTGATAATAGTCATTCTAATAGGTGTGAGTTGGTATCCCATTGTTTAGATATTCATTTTCCTAATGGTTAGTGATGCTGAGCACCTTTTCATGTACTTGTTTGTAAGTATTTAGAAAATGTCTATTCAGATCTTCTGCCCATTTTTAATTGAATTGTTTGGATTTTTTCCATTGAGTTATCTGAGTTTTATATATTTTGCATGCTAACTCTTTATTAGCTATTAGTATATGATTTGCAAATATTTTCTCCCATTCCATATGTTGCCTTTTCATTTTGTTGATGATGGTTTCTTTTGCTGTGGAGAAGCTTTTAAGTTTGATACAGTCCTGCTTGATATAGTACCCCCTTATTGCCTTTGCAAAAAAAAAAAAAAAATCACTGCTAAGACCAACACCAAGGAGGTTTTTTGTTTGTTTAAGAGTTTTAGAGTCTCAGGTCTTATTTTCAAGTCTTTAATTCATTTCAAGTTAATTTTTGTGAGTGATAAGATTGGGGCCAGTATCAATCTTCTGCATGCCGTTATGTAGTTTTCCCTGCATTATTTATTGAAAAGATATCTTTTCCCTTTGACTACACTTGGCTTCT